CAACTATAGGCTAGTCTCGCTAATGAATATAGACACAAAAATGCTCAATAAGATACTGGCAAACAGGAAACAGCAAATCAAGATTATATACACCATGATCAAGTAGAATTCATCTCAGGAACACAGGGATGACTCAACATATGCAAATCAATAAATGTAATACACCATACCAAGAGAGACAAAGACAAAAACTACAAGACCATCTCAATAGACCCACAAAAGGCATTTGATAGAGTCCAACACCCATTCAGGATAAAACTCCTATAGAAAATTGGAATAGATGGCCTTTATCTCAATCTGATAGAAGCCATTTGTGACAAAACAACAGTCAATAGCATACAAAATGGTCAAAAACTGAAGGCTTTCACTCTAAAATCATGAATAAGACAAGGATGTTCACTATCATGTATCTTATTAATATAGTTTTGGAAACATTAGCCAGAGCTTGGGTGAGACAAAGGAATAAGGATAGAAAAGGAAAAAGTTAAATTATTGTTATTTGCAGATATATTCTACATAGAAGACCCCCCAAACTTCACCAAAAGGCTGAATACAAAGTCAACACTCAATTTATTTTATTTTATTTTATTTTATTTTATTTTATTTTATTTTATTTTATTTTATTTTATTTTATTTTATTTTATTTTTCAGAAGCGGGGATTGAACTCAGGCCCTTGTGCTTGCCAGGCAAGCATTTACTCTACTGAGCCATCTCCCCAGCCCAACACTCAAAAATCAATAGTATTCCTATACACAAACACACACGGAGACAAACTAAGGAACCAATACCTTTCACAATAGCATTCCCAAAAGTGAAATACTTAGGAATCAATCAACAAAGGAAATAAAAGATCTATACATTGAAGATTAAAGTACTCTGAAAAAGAAGATTGAAGAGGATATGAGAAAATGGGAAGATACCCCTTGCTCATTGGTAGGAAGAATCAACAGTTAAAATGGTCCTAGTCCCAAAATTGTTATTCAGATTTAATGCAATCCTGATCAAAATACATTAGCATACCTCAAAAAACTAGAGAAAACATTCGTAAAATTCATTTGGAACCAGAAGAGACCTAGAAGAACAAAAACAATCCTAGCAAGAAAGATAATGCAGGGGTCATCACAATCCCTTACTTAAAAATCATACTACAAAGCTACTGTGTTATAAATAGCATGGTACTGGCAAACAAAACGAAATAAAACAAAACAGACCTGAGGATCAATGGACCAGATTACTTCTATCCAGATACAACTCCAAACACACTTGGCCACCTCATCTTTGACAAAGGGGCCACTAATGTTCACTGGAAGAAAGATAGCTTCTTTAATAAATGGTGCTGGAAAAACTGGCTTTTCACATGCCAGTGAAGGTTAAAACTAGACTCATGTCTCTCACCATGCACTAAACTAAAATTGAAATGGATTAAATCTAAACATTAAAACAGAACCACTGGGGCTGGTGAGATGGCTCAGTGGTCTAAAGCACCTACTTAGAACAAGCTTAGCAAAGCACAGGGACCACGGTTCAATCCCCCAGCACCACATGCCAGCCAGCCCCGCCCCATGGTGGGCTGAGCTGGCCACACACACACACATACACACACACACATAAATGAATAAAATTTAAAAAAAAATTAAAAAAAAAAAACAACCACTGAATCAAGAATAGGTAGAACTCTTGAAGACATAGGTGCAGTGAAAGATTTTATGAACAAACCCCCATCGCAAGGGAAATAATACAAAGAATCAACAACTGGGATTTCATCCTATTAAAAAGCTTTTATACAGCAAAATAAATTATAAACAGGGGCTGGGGAAATGGCTCAGCGGTCTAAGCACCTGCCTGGCAGGCACAAGGACCTGGTTTGATTTCTCGTACTGCATACCACGCTGGCCCTGGAACCCCAGCAGCGCTATGCCAGCCACTGAAACCAGGCATGGTGGCGCATGCTTGTAATCCCAGTTCTGGGGAAGCTGAGACAGGAAGACCACTACGAGTCTGAGCTGTGTAGCAAGACCCTGTACCCCCTCAAAAAAGAAACAAACTTAAAAAAAAAAAAAGCAATTATGAACAGAATGAAAAGACAACACACGGAGTGGGAAAAACATTTAGCCAGCTTTCCCTCAGAGAAAGACCTAATATCTAGAACATATAAAGAACTGAAAAAATAACCCAAACACCCCCAAATTTAAGGACCCAATCCAAAAGTTGCATCTGAGATGAATATACACTTCTCAGAGGAAGAAATACAAATGGGAAGTACATATATTAAAAAAGTCAATGTCACTGGTAATTAGAGAAATTCAAATTAAAACAAAACTGAGATTCTATTTCACCCCAGAAAGAAGGACTATCATCAAGAAGTCGACCAATAATAAATGCTGGCATGGACATGGGGAAAGAGGAACCCTCCTCCACTGTTGGTGGGAATGTAGACTGGTATAGCCACTATGGAAATAAGTGGAGATACCTCAAAAAAATTAAGATTAGAGGTACCATTTGACCCAGCTATTCACCTTCTGGGTATCGTCTTGGAAAAATTTAAAAGCAGCATACCATAGTGATATATGCTAACTCTTGTTTATAGCAGCACAGTTTATCATAGCTAAATCTTGGAAACCACCCAAATGCCCATCCACACGGGAATGGGTAATATATATGTGTGGTAAGGGGTAATGGAGCAAGACCTGAGCATGGGGCTCAATAAGACCTCAGAGGGGGTTGGGTTGAGATGCCTTGTTGACAGATAAGAAAACCAGGGGCCTAAGTTGAGAAGTTAAGGCCAGACTGGCCTCCATTCTACTTTCAGTTAATTTGTTCAGATGAGCTCATGTGGTCCTTTATATCTCTTAGATGTAGCAGGAACTCATCCATCATGGCTACTGAGAACATGGTTCTCTACAACTCTTCTCACCTCTAGCCTTTCAGGTAAATGCACATGGTGTCCCTAGACAGTTACTTTAGGTAGCAGTTGTCTTCCTCCTACAAATCTGTACTGAGAAAATTAAGAAACCGAGACTTGTGTGAAGTGACTTATCTTCCCAGTAGGTGGCAGTACTAGCAAGCCACAGAGTGAAGGTGCTTATGAGTGAAGGTCCCTCATACAAATTGCCCCTTTGCAGCCATCTTTGTATAGATTATTTAAAATGTATTAAGTACACAAAAATGTTTGGAAGGAAATATATCAAAGTATTTAAAGTAGTTTTCAATAAATGGTAAGTCGTTTTCATTTTTTTACATCTCCTATACTTTGTACAATCCGAGTTCTTTTTTTTTTTTTTTTAGACAGATCTTACTGGGTAGAGCTCAGGCTGGCCTTGAACTTGTGTCAATCCTCCTGTTTCAGCATTCTAAGTAGTCAGATTACAGGTGCATATCACACCTGTATCAGTCAACAAAGGTTTCAAATAAAAAAGTCACTCTGATAATAAATTGCAGTGGTCCCTCACTTATCACAGAGGTTGCATTCCAGACACCCCACAATAAGTGAAAACAAGTGAAGTAGCAACATTATATTTATTTTCAATATATATATATCTATAGATATCTATATACACTTTTTAGAAACCCTTCCCATACTCTTATAAATCTTTCCCACACTTTTAAAAGCACTTCTAATGTTCTTAACCATTACAAGTTCTAAACTTGTAAACCTATGTAATTTTAACAACATATGTATACTGTACAATAATGGAAAATCCAGTGATATAGCGAAAAATCCAAATTTGATAAATAATTTAGATTAATATTTTTTGGCCCCAGTGTACCATGATGGCCCCACCCTCAGGGGCGTGCTGAGACAGTGACTGAGACTGGGCATGGTGGTGCATGCCTGTAATCCCAGCACTTGGGAGGCTGAAAATAGGAGGATCACTAAGAGTCCGATCTGAGTAGTGAGACCCTGTAGACCCTGTTTGAAAACCTGTGAAGCAGTGACTACGAATGTTGAGCTGCAAAATAGCAAGAGACTACAGTATTTATTATAATTTGTATGTATTTAGTAAAGGGTCTCACTACGTAGACTGGACTCTCAGTGATCCTTCTGTTTTCAGCCTCCAAAGCGCTGGTATTACAGGCGTGTGCCACCACGCTCAGTCTCAGTCACTGTCTCAGCTCAGAGCTGGCAAGGGACTACCGTATTTCAATAAAGCATATACAGAGTTTTTGGTACTGAAATGTCATTAGCAAGATCACATAGAACTGTGATAATCTGCATTTTGGTCTCCAAGGCCATATCATCAGGTCACATGTGTATATAAGATTTAAAATGATGCAGCCCTGTAATACTCTAGTAATGTGATTTTAAAATCTTATTTACCTTATTAAAAACAGAAAAACACAAAATTACAGATTTCAACTGGAAGCCTAGCACTAAATTATTAGTATCTGAAACCATTTCACAATGATGTATATACTTCTTTATGTTCACTCTTGCAGGCTGAAGAGGACTGACATAAATATGTCGGGGTTATGCTGCTTTAGCTCCAAATAATCTAAAGTTTAACACTCAGGGAATTAATTTCCTTAACTAAATAATGAAACTTTCTAACTCTTATCTACAAAGTAATGTAGCAGCCAGATCTCTGTGTCTAAGGGATCTTCACCCAATCTTAGATTGAAAATACTCAGATAAAAATTGTGTTTTGAGCTAGAAATGTAACTCAGTGACAGAGAGAGGAGGCCTAGAATTCAATCCTCAGCACACACTCAAAAAAAGTGTGTCGGAAAATACATGGACTTCTTGTGTGTCATTAATCCTTACATGAGGTAGTAAAACAACTTGCTTCATATATACAAGTAATCTAGAGATAAAGTACACAGGAGGATAGACATAGGTTATATGCAAATATTAAGCCACTCCATATGTGGCACTTGAACATCCATAGATTTTGGAATCTCAGCATCCTAGAACCAATTCCCTGTTAATGAATCAACTTAAATTTTGAGCCATGTTTACCAAAAATGAAGCTCATCATGTGAACCTGCCAGAAGCCCTTACCTGGCATCACAGGACTGATTTGACTCTTTGGTCCCCTCAGGACAGAGTGGTTCCTCTTTTCTGTGCTTGGTAAGGTAGCCGGCAGGCTGGGGGCTGTGGTTTTCTGGGACTTTTCCATCTGCAAGTCTTCCCCAGTGTCTGCAAGGAGTCCTGCAGTGCCTGGTGCAGCAGAACTAACTGCTGTGTGAGTCACCAGCTTGCGGTCAAGGCCCACTGAAGCATGGAAGAGCTCAGTTAGTTGTGTGGTCTCTTTTCTGAACTTCAACTAAAATTATGTATTTGCTATTGATTTAAAATCACTGATAACTATGATGGGGGAAAGGGAAAAGGAAGGGAAAAGGAAAAATATTTATACGCAAGGTAGTTACAATAATTATACAGCTAGTTTCTCTTAGTTCATTGAAAAGGAAGGTTGAGCTAATACTATTTGGACAATATTTCATGCCTGTATCTTATACTCTAAGTAACTACTATGAAGATAACAATATGCAACATATTAATTATTGTTACACTTGTACTAGCCTTTTTTTTTTTTTTTTTTTTTTGTACCGGGGACTGAACTCAGGACCTTGTACTTGCCAGGCAGGTGCTTATGCCAGTGAGCTATATCCCCAGCCCTACTAACCTGTTTTGAAACTGTTTTATTTTTGTTTTTCTCTTTAAAATAAATAAATAAATGAATAAATAAATAAATAAATAAATAAAAAGCACTTACATTTAGGACAAATAACTGACCCATCCAAGACATGTCAAAACCTCATAAAAATTCTTCTTTCCAGTATTTAAGTGGGCCTTGGATTCTCTTGTCTTCCATACTGGCTTTCCAAATAATACACAAGAAGAAATGGACAGAGACAAAACCTACACCTTGTATTTTGAGATTGGTTGCCTTTCTTCAAAATGGGTACTTGTAGTGACCTTCTGCAGCTCTTCATTCTTGCAGGGCACTTCTATGTATACAATACTGCCAAGACCTCTGACTTAGCTACACTTTTGTTTCATAAATGTTCTTTAAGGCATCAGAACAAAATGTCAGTTCACTGCATTGTTGTTGTTTTTTTTTAAAATCATGTTATTGAAGCATTTTTAGGATAGGAAGAAATCTTTGGAAAATAGAAAAAAATACGCATACCAAAAATTTGACTTTGCAACTCAGACCAGAGAGTCATGGTGAATGCCTATTTAAGGCATAGCTTTTGCACATGAAGTTATACTCAAAACCGGGCAAAGAAAGAACAGTGGGGTCCCATGTTGTTCTGAGAACACAGACATTCCTCCTCCATCCCCACCAGTCCCCTCCTTGATAGTGTGAAAGGCAGAGTCACTCACAATTTTGACAGAAATCTTCATCCGACCCATCAGGACACTGTCGCACTCCATCACACGTCAGGGTGATGTCAATGCAGCAGCCGTCGTCGCAGAAGAAGTGGTAGCGTGAGCAAATGTTTACACATCCTGTTTTCAGACAAGGGTCAAGTCATAGGGGTACAGGAAAAGTTAAGACTCAACTCTACCCAGACGCAGAGTGGCTGGCGAATGAGAAAAACCTCACCAAGCTTGAGGCACTGGTTCTGGAAAGATTAGAGGCTCTCCTTGACCTCCTGACTGAATTTTCCTCAACCTCAGTGTGGTGAAGTGAGCACTGTACATATAGAGGCACAAGTTCGGGTCACTGGCACGACAATACAGATGAAAGGTATCCAGCTAGAATGAGGCCACAAACAGTCCCAGTTTTACAGGGAAAGTCTGGATGGATTACACACGCAGTTCTCTCAGGAAATGTGAGAGGAGCAAACTATGTTATTCTAGCAAGGCTGGAGGCTGGCCCGACCTACACAACCAAGTGAAATCGTGACACATTTTATTGAGACACAGCTAAACTAGTGGAAAAGGAGTTTACCTGGGTGTTGACTTGAAGATATCTTGATCCAGGAGAAAAAGAGGGTAAAGAAAAGACATGGCACAAGCTCCTGAGGAAGAAGGGGAAGCAAAAGGCCTGTAGCTAGGACTGAAATTCAGGCCACTGGGGGAGTCAGAAGAAAAGGACAGGGGTAGGTAGGGATGCAGCAGAGGCCTCTTTTCTTGGAACAGAATGGGAGCCCAGCATTCTCCTCTCTGGCTTAGGTTTAATTTTATATGAATGAGTTGCATTTCTGGTACCCTTCCCCCAAAAAATTATATGAAAAGGGTATGCCTTAAATGTCAACTCATCAGGGGCTAGGGAGATGGCTCGGTGGAATAAGCGCTTCCCTGGCAAGTGCAAGGGCATGAGTTCAATCCCCGGTTCCGCAAAAAAAAAAAAAAAGTCAACTCATCATGAGGCTTGAATGAATATTTGTCATGTTTCTTAAATCCATGACATGAAGATCCTAAACAGCTGAAGGTTTTACTTATTTTTTGATATTTTTAGAAATAAAACTATTTATTATGGACCTATTTCTGGATTAACAGTCTCCAAACTTTTTTTTTTTTTTTTTTTTGAGACAAGATCTCTCTATGTAATCCAGGCTAGAACTCACTTATGTAGTCTACGCTGACCTCGAACTCACAGCAATTCTCCTGTCTCAGCCTCCTAAATGTTGAGTTTATAGGCCTGCACCACCACGCCTGGCTTCCAAAATTTTGACAACACATCATGATCAATAGTACATTACTGAATATGCATCTCAAATTTATTTATAAATACTGTATATTTTATCAAATATGCTGAAAATTTTAAGAAGATTCAGAATGAATAAAAATATAGGTTTTAGTATCTTCTTTGCTGCCCTGAAAATCACTGGGGGGTCCTATTTGGAGATCACAAGCCTAGATTCTATTGCAAGTGCTTTCCGGATTGCTATGTGAATGCATATTTTTTTCAAACACATAAAAAAGTATTAAGGGCTGGCCAGACAGCTCAGCGGACTAAAGTGCCTGCTTAGGCGGAGCGCAGCAGCCAGGATTTGATCCCTGGCATGCTGTGTTGGCCCCGCCCCTGGGGCATGCTGAGACTGTGACTGAGACTGGGCGTGGTGGCGTGCGCCTGTAATGCCAGTGCTTGGGAGGCTGAAAAACAGGAAGAATCACTATGAGTCAGATCCACATAGTGAGACCCTGTACACTCTGTACTAAATACAAAAAAAAAGTATTAAAATATTGTTATTCTATGATAATGGGTATATCTTGCTTGTTTACGCTGGCCGAGGCCACTCTTGGAACTGGCTTAGTAATTATAAAATCAATATACGTAATTGAGGAGGCAGAAATTCCTCTGTTCTTGCTGCTGTTTTTCACTGTTTATATATGGTGTTTCATCTACTTTAATCCATAGCATATTTTCCCAATATAACCAGTAAGTGATTTTAAGTAACAGTTGTAGTAGTATTGCACTAATTCTTTTTATTTATTTATTTATTTATTTGTGTGTGTGTGTGTGTGTGTGGCCAGCTCAGCCCACCAGGGGGCGGGGCTGGCTGGCATGTGGTGCTGGGGGATTGAACCACGGTCCCTGTGCTTTACTAAGCTTGTTCTAAGTAGGTGCTTTAGACCACTGAGCCATCTCACCAGCCCCTGCACTAATTCTTTATTTCCTGTATAAAGTTTTTTTCTTTTTTCCTGTATTTTAGGGAAGGGTCTACAGGGTGTTCAGGGTCTCACTACTAGATCAGACTCATAGTGATCCTCCTGTTTAATCTTCCAAGAGCTGGGATTACAGGCGCGCACCACCACGCCCAGTCTCAATTGCCATCTCAGTGCGCCCCAGGGGCAGGGCCAACACAGCAGGCCAAGGTATCAAACGCCCAGCCCCTGCACCTGCTTGCAGGTGCTTTAATCCGCTGAGCTATTTGGCCAGTCCTCCTGTACAAAGTTATATTCATAAGGCTGATACCAGAGCGGCCTTTCAGTAAGTGATTCACCTTGTTGTTGGCCACTTTAAATGCATTTTATCACCACCTTGGAGAAAGGCCAGAAATTGACAATGGGCAGTTTACCTAGAAAGCTGGCCTAGTCCATCACCAGCAAATGGTTTGCTGCTGAGGGCTCAGCCATCTGTTCATGTTTACACAGGCTCTTCCTTCCTCATAGCTACCAACACTGGAAAAAACAACTGTCTTCTAATTTCTCTGCGGATGCCAGGCTTTCTGCATCCTTTTCCCAAGGTGAGTCCCTCACTCCAACCTGTACAAGTGAGCTAAGCATCCCTAGTGCTCTGTTCCCAGTGGTCACAGTTCACACCCAGCCACCAAGGTACCTAGATGATGGTTCTCTTTGCAGTTGCAGTCCATCACTAGAGCTGCTCACATCCAGACTGGGGAGATGAGCTCACCACCCCCCGTATCCCATGATGCTGGCTTATCCACGTGTGGTTACCTCTTCTTTCATCACAGGAAGCTTAAATCTGGCTGGTCAGGAAGTGGCCAGGCAACCAAAAAATTTTTTTTAAATTTTATTTATTTATTTTTAGGCGACCAAAATTTTAATGCTGCTTATGCAAATTATCACGGTTGCCAAGTTCTTAGGATTCTAACATCTCTAACTATGAATCATTTCCAATATGTATGCCTATTTTTTTTCATGGAAGACTAAATCCACTGTAGAAGTGTATCAGTCATTCCAATCTTGTATCCTTATTCTTCAAACTGCTAATTATGATCTGTATCCTGAGCAGTCAAGAATGTTAGAGACTTGCTGCAAGTTTGCTAGAGCTATGCCTTTTTGACACTAGACTCTTCAAGAGGATAGGACTGTATCTGCTGAGTTTACCGCTGTCTCAGTGCTTAGCACAGACCAAATTCAGGACACTCATGTGCACAGTTTCTCAGCAGTTCTACAAGTCAATCCTGTGGGCCTCTTCCTGCTGCAGTACCACTACATCTTTAGTCCTGACGAATTCCATATAATGGGTATTTTTAAAATTAAGCTAGTCTTACAAATGCAGATGTTTGGGAAAGTAATACAGATCAAAATAAATGGGTTTTATATTGTGCAGTAGAGCATGAGAAATCCTATTTTATATATTTAAAATTATATTAGTGTATGCCTCTGTGTGAAGTGTCTAAAAAGTTTTAAATGGTGTCTTCTAACTGGCCCATGTATTTTCCTTACAATTGACATGTTACTTAACTGTTGTCGTTTACTCCTTTTTTTCCTGTGTTTAATTGTTTGCCCTATTTAGTTGGTTGCTTCTGATCTCATTCGTGGAGTTCTGATCGTTTTGGTCCCTCTCTAGAGTATCTTTCAGTAACCAGTGTAGGGTTAGCTTTGTCATCATGAAATTCTTTAGCTATTCTTTGTCATGGAAGTATTTCACTTCTCCAACAAACTTGAAAGAGAGTTTTACAGGGTATAGTAGTCTGGGCTCGAATTTTATTCATAGAGGACTTGAAGTACTCTGCTCCATGCTCTTCTTGCCTTCATGGTTTGTGAAGAGAAGTCGGCCATAATTCTGATGGGTTTTCCTTTGAATGAGATCTGCTTCTTTTCTCTAGCGGCTTTCAGTATACTATTCTTGTGCTGGATTTCTGGGATCTTGACTATTATATGTCTCGGTGTGTTTTTAATCGAGTTGAGGTTACTTGGTGTTCTGTTTGCTTCACTTACCTGAATGTCAGATTGTTTTCTCATATTTGGGAAGTTTTCTGCTATTACTTCTGCCCATGTATTTTTTTAATGTCATTTGTATTGACTCCTTTTTTCTCATTGATACCTATTAGTCTCACATTGTTCATCTTTGCATCGTCTTGCAAGTGATGAATTATTTTTTCCTGCATCCTAGTTATTTTTAAGAGATCTTTTCTTACCTTTTTACTAGCTGCACCAGCATCTTCAAGCTCTGAAACTCTGTCTTCACTTTCACTCAAACGGTTTTGTAAGCTTGTGATGGAGATTTTAAGTTCCTTGATATCTCTTTGATGCTGCTTCACGCGATCTATTTCTTTCCTGTATTGCTCATTCAAGAAATCCATCATTTTTCTAATCTCTCTTTTTTTAATCAATGTCTTCCTTAGAAACAGTTATTAATTCTGTTATTAGAATTAGCTATTAGAAAGTTATTATTTTGCAGTAAAAGCAGAGTTTTTTTCAGATTGGGTTTCCTCCCTACGTTTCTGTATTTGATTCTTTACATCAGATGCTATGAGTTCAGAGAATTCCTGTTTTATTTCAGAAAATAATTCCACTCTGAGTTCCTCTATGACTTTCTGCTGTTGCTTACTTTTGACGCTATTAATTCATACATTTCAGCTGAGCTAGTGTCCTCTGCACTTGTTCTGGGTGGACACTGGGTTTCCTCCATATGTTTCTGCCATTGATTCTTTACTGCAGATGCTATTAATTCAGGGATTTCTTTTTTCAGTTCCAATCTGAGTTCCTCTATACCTTTCTGCAGCTGTTTCTTTATTTCAGAAGCTCTTGATTCACTGATTTCAGCTGTGTGATTCCCAATTTGTTCTGTGTTAGTGTCCTCTGCACTTGTTATGGGTGGGCTTGGGGTCTGAGATTGCATTTTGTTCCTTCTTGTTGTCATTTTGTATAGCAATGTCTTCTGAGCTTTGGTTTAGTTATAACCTTAGCACCTACTGAAATTTAGGTGCAGATCTACAATGTTTGAATTTATCCACCTGTGCCTGGCTGGGGTCTGGCGGCTGTGCTCAGCTCCTTCCTGCTGCTGCCCTTGGGAGTGAACCTGTTGTGCCCCTCTGGCAAGATGTTCTGCTCCTGGACTAGCTGGGTGGTTCTGTCCCCTACTCTCTCTGCAGGGACTGCAACTGCAGAGTTTCACCCCAGGCCTGTATGCCAGGCCTGAGCTGAGTCTGAAAGGGACAAGGTGGAGTAGTGGGGAGAGGAAGCTCTTCCACACACCGGGCCTGGGCTAGGGGTGGATCTGGGTGTCCCAAGAATGCGGCAGAAATTCTCACTCACTGGGCAGGAGTGGGGGGGACTGCGGTGTGGTGGAGGCGGTACCAAGGGGATGGAAGAGGGTCTTACCCACACTGCGCCTGGGCTTGGACCAGACAGGTCCTGCGGGCGCAGAGTAGCTGGAAGCTCTCCCACACACTCACCGGGCCTACACTATGGCTGGATCTGGGGGTCTTGAGAACGCAGCAGAAGTTATCACTCGGAGGGCGGGAGGGGTGGAACTGTGGAGTGGGGGGGCGTCCGAAGGGGGTGGAAAAGGGTCTCACCCACACTGTGCCTGGGCTTGGACCACACAGGTCCCGCTGGCTCAGGGTAGCCAGAAGCTCTCCCACACACTCACTGGGCCTGTGGCCCATGTATTTCCCATAATTTAATCTGTCTTAACCATACTCCTTAGCTATATTCTTTTTTTTCTTTCTTTTTTTTTTTTTTTTTTTTTGGGTGGAACTGGGGATTGAACTCAGGCCCTTGTGCTTGCCAGGGAAGCGCTTATTCCACTGAGCCATCTCCCTGGCCCCATTCTTAAAAATTTTGAACTGACTTCATATATCAACAAATTTATTGTACCCAAGAACTAAGTCTTCTATTCTGTAGTATGATTTTCATTTTTTTATTCTACTTTTTTTTTTTTTTTTTTTGCGGAACCGGGGATTGAACTGAGGCCCTTGCGCTTGCCAGGGAAGCACTTATTCTACTGAGCCATCTCCCCAGCCCTTATTCTACTTTTTTAATTAACAAATAATAATAGTACATATTTATGGGGTACAAAGCAATGTCTTAATATACGCATCCATTGTGGAATGACTAAATCAAGTCAATCAACATAGCCATCACCTCAAGTATGAACCATATTTTATGGCAAAAACATTTAAAATCTCCTCCTAATAATTCTGCAACATATAATATATTATTATTAACTATAGTCATCACGCTATGCAGTCACTACTAGAACTCATTCCTTCTTGGAGGGAAACACTGGCCAAGGTCTCTCCGCTGCCGCAGCTTCCAGTACCCACTGCTCCACTCTACTTCTAGGAGCTGGGCTGTACTCTGTAGCTGTACTTATTGAGCGTACATGTCAAAAAGTCCTCCATCTTTAAACAAAATCCTCTCCTGGAAGAGTCAGAAGGCACCTTTAGTGAAGGTGAGAGAGAAGGATTTACAGAGCCCAGTAGGTCACATGGTCTATTGTCCCTTCCTGTGAGCATTCCTTTCACCTCAATCTGTGGTGTTATAGTATCCTAAAATATAATGGAGCCTGTTTTCATTATTATATTAAAAAAAAAACTTTCACTCAACCATCTAAATAAATAAATAGAATTAAAACAAATTTTAGAAAGCAAGAGCCGTGGAATAATGAGGATATAAAACAGCAGACACCTCCCTTCCAGTAGCAGCCGGAGTGCTGGCTGCGGTGAATGCAAGGGCAGGGCTTTCCACTCACCTCCTGGCAGGTAGGGCCTGGGATGTACTGTCACCGACACATTGTCTGAGCTTCTCTGACCCGCAGTGTCCGTCACAGTCAGCTGCAAGGTGTACGTTCCTTCCTGCAGGTGGGACAGCTTCAGGGTTCCTGGCTGAGGCACCTGACACACAAATGGGATAGCTCATGTGTAGGGAGGCGATCTGAGCAGAGTCCCACAGTCCACAGGACTGGCGCGGGGCCACCACCCGCCTCCACCCCAGGCCCGGGGCTGCTCAGGACTCCATCCCGCACTGTTTGGGTCCCATCACACACACCAGTTCTGATATTATCCAAGCTGGCAGCATCCCTAACTGACCATCCTTTCACTTGGACTTAGCAGCCACTGTTCCCAAGCTGCTCCTCCTCTCCGTGCTCCACACTCAGTATCAAGCCCCTTCCCCCTCTGCAGGTGGCCTCATCTACTTCAGTGAGAAACCAGGATCACAGTGATAGATGCATGACTCGCCTCCTCTTGAGCACAGCCCTTACCCATGGCCACCTCCTTCTTGACCCCTGTAGGGGACGGACTGTTCCTGCTGAGCTCTGGGCCAGTCTCTCTCAGTCCTTGACTTTCCTTCTGTGACTTTAGACTCCTGACCCATCAATCAATTTCTCTTTCAAGTGGTTCTGCTATTGCTATGGTCAAGTTTCTCTCACCCCCCGAAATCACATAACATAAAACAAAAGCAACTAAAAATTTCCCTAAGTTCCAGGGCTCTCCCTGGCCACAGTGTTTCCTTCCCATCCTGATGTGGCTCCTGAGAGGGCCACTGTGCAGCACAGGCTGCTTCCTGTGCTCATTTTGCATGTGTCTCCACCACTAGTCCCAATTTCCCAGAGCCTGTACTCTGTGCAGTGTGTGTACCAAAGCTCAGCACTTCTGTGTGAGACTAAACTCTGCCGAAGTGGGGTTTGCCAGGAAGCCTCCTGCCCAGCACTGGTGCTGGAAGGACAGAGGGAAGGGGCCAACCTCTTCCTCTGAGCTGTGCACCCTACTACCTCGCCAGGCCCCTCTTCTCCAGTACAGGAAACATGGATCTAGATGCAGATCCTGCCAGATGCCTTCAGTGTCCAGAATTCACTCACATTTACATCTATGCAGATCAAAAGTTAAGTCTGATAGAACTTTGATTTTGGACTTCCAGCACCCAGAACTGTGGGAAATAAATTCGTTTAAAAGCCACCCACTAATGGCATTTTGTTATAACAGCACAAGAAGACTATGATAATCATGTAATTAAAACATTTTAAACATTTGGTGAATGTTAATCAGCCCACTGATTGGTGAATTCCAAATATCTCTAAATATCTCTGTTCACTTTCCTAAATGAAATACTCTGTATCGTGTTCCTAAATGTCATATTTTACATTCTGATTTTAGATTTAAATGTACTATATCTAATAATCATGAAACTCATAGTTATCTAACAAGCTGCCTAAAAATACATGTCCTCTTGCATTTAAGAATGTATTACAGAGCAATGTTCAGTTAAGCGTATATATAACTTTAAAAACGTAATGTACAGGGCTGGTGAGATGGCTCAGTGGTCTAAAGCACCTACTTAGAACAAGCTAAGCTCAGCAAAGCACAGGGACCACGGTTCAATCCCCAGCACCACATGCCAGCCAGCCCCGCCCCCTGGTGGGCTGAGCTGGCCACACACAGACATTAAATAAAT